TCTTGTCTGCCAGTATCCTAGATTAATCTAAATGCATCTCACTGGTGATATCCCATGGTCTTGTGTTCATTTGTACCCAATGGTAGATGTACTCAGTGGGATTCAGCAGCAGCTTAACACCATTTCCACTGCAATCAATAGCAAAACTCCTAAATACTGCAGCTGGAAAACAATTAGGCCTCTACTGAGTACATTAGAAAAAATATCGATTTGGTGAAATTGAGGTTTAGTGTTGGTGAGTTTGGCTTTGTTAATGTCAGGGAAACTGCCCTTGTTATGATCAAAGCTGAACTTGAACCAAGTAACACTATTCAGTCCAATTCTATCTCTGCCTCGGATTTAGCTTCTCCCTGATACTGTTCTGATATTCTAGTAATGATTTCTGTAGACCAGCCTGCAGTCAGCAGTTGAGGACAGCTAGGTCAGCCAATATCACAGTCTTTTCTTTGAAAAATCTGAAAACAAATTCCAAAGAGAAGATGCTGCTCTCAAGTATTACCTTCTTTAACTTCACTTAGGGGAGCCTAAATTTCTGCTTCTGCAGACACCTTGCACAAGTCCCTCTCTTTTATGCTCCAGACAGAGACATGTGACTTTTTACAGATTTCAAGTGTGTGATGGAAATTCACAGCTCCGTGGATTTTAAGGCTGGAGAGGCCACTGCATTAATCTAATCAGAGCTAATGCATAGCAGGGATCAGGAAACTATTATCAACTACTTCCTACTTCAAGTCCAGCAGCTGCAGTTGAACTAGGATCTTGGTTTTAGAAAAACACACAGACGTTTAAGAGGAAGTTTAATAGTCTTTCAGGGGACAAACTCACTAGAGCTTTGGGTGGCTAGTTCCAATTAGTAACTTCATCCAGTGATCAAACAGGCCTAGTATTTCTACATTCAATCTAGTTACAGCTTATAACTATTAGTTTCCAAATACACTTTTTGTACCCAAGACTATAATATCCTCTGTTATCACATGCCTATCCTCCTTATCACTCTTTACAGACCATGATGAAGCTATGTCTTAGCCTTCTCTTTAATAAACGAGGTGGATTGAGTCCCTTGAGTCTTATAAAACCCAAGCTCTGATTGTTTACTTATTCTCTCAGATACTTTCTAAATTGTGCCCAATTTCTAAACTTTTTTCCTTGAAGGACAGAGAAGGAAGGGAAAGACTCAAAAGTAGGATAAGGTAGCAGAGAAATAAACACCTACTGAAATAGAAGCTCACAAAGAAGCAAGAGATGATAAAAAGACCATGCAAAGCAGTGCCCATTTACAAGTATGCTTCCCTAAGTTATCCTGTCAATTCCAAGAGGCTGATACTCGATTCTCCTACCTATCCTTCCACTCAATTATTTCAGCCAACCAGTGATTTCCATTAGTGATTATTGCAAGACCTTCCCAGCTTAAGAATACACTCTATGCCTTTGCAGAATTTTTTGGAAGCAGAGCTCATTAGCACTACAAGGCACTAAACCAACAGTCTCCCCAAAACCACTACTCGTGTCACAATTGAGCTCCACTAAAGTAGGACTGTGTTCTTTCCCATCCCCCGCCCTGGAAATATCTGCCTTGCTTCAAGGCCAGCACTAGAGGACTCAGAAGAAACAAAAGGCACATGGACACAAAGCACACATATGGAGCTCTGGGCTTCAGTCATCAAGCTTGGGACATCTGTGGCTTTCTCAGGATGCCCGTGTGTTCAAGTAATTAGACCAGGGCCAGCTGTCCCCTTCTCGCTCTTCACCCTTTATGCTCCCATTGCTTCTACTATCTCTGTCTGTCCAAAGAGTATTTCACCTGATGGATCACCAAACGAGTAGGGTTTTTTGTTGTTGTTTATTCTTTGGAAGGAGGGAGTGGAAGAGAACTGGTGAGGCAGTAAAGAGGAGAAAGGATTCTCCTGACTACGTCTCATGAGACACCTCAACGTTTCCAAACAAGTTTTTGCCACGTGAGAGGAAAGATTTACTTTAACCTTTATATTCTGAAGTTATAAACTCCAAACACTTTTACTGGTACTGAAAATGAAACCATCAGTAGTGAACTCGCCTGCTCAGGAAAGCTTACTGCTTTAAGGACACATTCAACTCTTGTATTCTGGGCCTAATTTCCCTGTCAGTGATCCAGAAGTAATTCAGGGAAATCAATGAACTGTATTTCAATCTCAAGATGCTCACTGCAACACACTCCTTTCTGAAATCTTTCTGCCAATTTGTGCTAGAGCAAGCTAGAGGTACGGTGGAAGGCAGGTCTCCACATCTGTGGGGGTTACCGCAGTGCAGCTGAAGAAACCCAGCTGAAGCTTTTATCAGTTGCATGAAAGCAGGAGTGAGAACAGAACCAACCCTTTGTTCTCAACTGTGAAATTACATTTGTAGCTTTGCCCCAAAGCCAGGCTCTCAAACAGGCCCAAGCTGGAGCTGGGAAAGGAACACTGTTCCCCAGCCTGCATTTAGTGAGTAAGGACATGACAAAGCAAAAGGCTCCCATATGCACTGAGCAGCCCTGTCCTTTGACAGGGCAGCAAGTGCTTGGATGATACATTTACTGCAGCTTGTGCTGCAGCATGCCTGCCCGTGTATCATCTCCATAGCAGCAGTTCTGCTAATTGAGACCAGCTGCTTCAATTCCAAATTTTTCTCTCCAGAAATATCGATACTACAGCATTATGATTAGAAAGCACTTTACCAAATGCCTCTCAATTCTGCACAGCTCAGATGAAGAGCAGCTGCAGAGAGAAGGGACAGTTCCCTGAACATACAGAATAAAATACTGCAAAAACACTGGAGAAATGAAGGCTACAAGAAGCAAGTCAAAATAGAATAATGATGACAAGGAAAGCAGCCTGCTGTATATGCTTGTGCCTGTCACTTCAGATGTTGAAAGGACCGTGAGCAGACTTCTTCCTTATGCTCTAGGATAAATGGCCACAGCACTGCACTGTTACAGCTTCATGTGGCAGGTGTACATGTTTGTCAGATCCAGTTTTTCTGTCCAAGGCTGGATTGAAGCAAAATCCATCAATCTGGGCCTGGCTTGGGAGAGTAGCTGTGGTCTTGAATCATTTGGCTCCAGGGGCTGTTCTGCACACCCCACTGGCAAAGAAAGCCACTAGAACTGATAAGCTAGGGGGAAGTTGCACAAAGTAAGAACGCCACCACAGTACTGTGACTTGGCTTCACTGTTGGCTATCTCCCTGCGGCTGCTGACTCCACACAGCAGGCTGTCAGCTGGATGCTTCGCAATGGTCACACTGGGATTGCCAAAAACTGCGTTTTTCCCCTCCAGCCAGACTGGATTAAGCTGGCTAACAGTACAGTCAATTCTAAATTCACTCAGAAGTCTCAGGCCCTGTCTGTGACCATCAGACAGAGGGCATTCCTAAAAGACATCTGGTTACTGAATTTATGCAAGAACTGGGCAAACCACTTCAATCCCATCTGTTGTTCCAACCTCCTGAGCACAGAGAACAGAATCCTTGAAAGAGAAAATCTCACCAAGAAGGGTCTGAAAATGAGAACCACAATGCAATATGTGATTTCCTCCTGAGAAAGATGCTGTACAATCCTACAGAAAACATGGCACGCTTCAGCATGTGGCTGTGTAAACAAGGGCCTAACACACCATTTCACAACTCTGATTTCATACTACAACCGAGGTAATGCAACACAACTAAAGCAAAGAGATTGCTTTGCTATGCTAAGCGATTTGCCTCCTACTCTGAAAATCAATGAGGTAAATAAAATGTTTTATACAAATACCAGACAGTGTCTCTCAGAGAACAAAATGCTCACGTTTGTTAAAAATATTCCTATTATTTTACTCTGGAAAATATCCAGTGTTTAGTGTCTCATTCAGATTTTACCATTTACACAGTTTTCTTACCTATCTCACTTTCTAACTTTTGGTCTATATTAGAAGTCTGTTTGAATCCACAGTACTGCAGGAGAGGGAATATATCAATGAAATTCCAGAAAGGTAAAGTCTGAACACATTACAGTTGACCGTAAACTTTTGGAATTTTTCTCTGAAAAAAGAAACCAAACTTATTTTTTGTGTAACATTCACTGACTGTATATTAGCTGAAAATCCATTTTCTTTCTGCTCTGAGTAAGATTGCTATACTTACTTGTGCTTGGAAACAGCTGACACAGAAGTCCGTATAGGAAACAGCAGTATAAACTTCTATGCTCTGTGTGCTTATACAGGGAAGTTACCTCAGTAAAGTGCTCCATGCTGCACACAAACCTGTTAGTGTAATTTGCAGGTGACAGTGTGATCAAATTCGTTGATTGCACTGCAGTTGTGTTCCTTCCCATCAAGATGAATTTAGCCTTTCTAGTCACCAAATCACATGAATAAACTGTTATGCATACATTTATTTTATTTTTAGGTTTCCAAGATCAATCAATGACATTCATGTGAGGAGAATCACAAGGCTAGGTAAAAAACAAACTAAGCTCTTCTGAACACTAACAGTCATTGGGAGCATTGGGACAAACACCTTGATGGTTTCCAATGGCACAGCTCTGTGGATTGTAAACAGAATTACAACAGCTCCAAATAGTCACAGACCTTGGCACATCAGATCATAAAGAACCCATGCATCAGAGCAAGTAGTAGGAGTATTCAAGTAACAGATTTACTAGCCTCTGTTAAATCTCCTCATGCTGACGTTTTTACACCTCAGTCTGCAATGTACCGCAACCACACAACTGCAGTGGTGGAAGTCCAATGCCCAACACACATCTGCCCCAATAGAGAAGCAAGACCTCTGCAGCTGACCGTTTATTTTGTTCGCAAAGCACAGGCATACTCCCGTTTAATTTCAACTGCCCTAGCCTCCCCCATAACTAAATTATTGTTATTATGCTCTGCATAATCCTAGTACTGACAGGGATGTTTGTTATACATAATTAAAGATATTAATTTTGCATGGAACAGAAGACAGAGTCAGGAATCTAATTTTTTTTAAAATCTCCCATTAGAAAATTACCTTCATTAGCACCGACTCACTGAGCTTCTCTCTGTTGACAATTTTTATCGCGACCTTCTGACACGTGACACAGTGAACCCCCAACTTCACAAGCCCTGCAGGAGAAACAGAGCAAAACAGAAAGGAAGAATTGGTTAGAGACAGTCGCTGTTGAGTTTTTTGCTATTAGAACACCATCCAGCACTTAGCAACTTATATGCAAATAAATTCCCACCAGTACCTTCTCCAGCCAGATAAGGTCGTGTGAGTAACGATGACCCCGCAGCCCACATTGTGACTATTCGGCTGTGAAGCCACCAACATCCTTGATGCTCCTGTGGTTTCTGCCACTAAAACTGTGTTTCTGTTGAAACACTGTATTCCACCTCTAACAACTCAAATTCCATCCTATCAACAAGAAGTTCTGCCAATTGAACCACACTGGACTAAGGGTTTTTGTTGACACTTGACATCAACAAAAGCTCACAAATCAGCAAAACTAGATGGTCATATGTTTGCAGTGTAGACATAGCTTCTACTGTTCTCTAGCTCCTTCCAAAGCTTTTATGATCCTAATAAAAAGGTATTTAATTATGGTTTCATTTACTATTTTAATTTACCCTCCTGGATAAACTTAGCACTGTGATGAATGCCATTGTGGTGTGAACGAACATCAGCATATGCTGATACAATTCTAAGAAGTTCTTACTTGTTATTACTCACTATATCCTTGTCCTCAAATAATACAGACTGCTGTTAAGTGATTATATTGGCAAAAGGATATGGATATCCCTGACAGGATCAGGATGTCTGAACTATCCCCAAAATATGGAACAGAACCCCAAGACTTAAAAAAAAGAAAGAGCTAAGTAACACACATGAAGCATTACCTTCTGCAAAATTTTCATCTAAATCTGCTGACTTGCATGAAGGTGCATTAAGATACCTCCCACAAGTGAGTTTAAGATGGTACCCTGAGCTCTCAACTCTACTGCCATTAAGAAAATCTGTAACTGGAAGAGTTGTAGGTTATTCAAGTGAGATCTTGTTGGCTTCAGTTTTTACTCTTGTAAAACATGCACATGAAGCACAACACCTGATGGGCTGGATCCCATCCCACTCCACACACTATATGCCAAATTGCCATTTAGTTTAATTCAGTTATAACAGAAGTAAAAAGAAATTGCACCTCCCTAGTGTCACTAAGACCTGCTGTGCTTTGCAGAGTATTTATGAGCAATGACATCACAGAGTAGGAAAAAGCCTAACTTAGCTAGCAGTTCCTAGGCTGGGTTGCAGTTAAGAAGCCAACCCATCCCCTGGTGCAAACCACAAAGCCAAACACATTGCTTTATCTGGAATTTCAACACAAGATTTGCAGTCCAATGAAACTCTGAACACAGGACTTCACATGTCTTACTGAAGGATAAATATATAGACTATTGCCTCACTACAAACTGGCCCAAATGAAGTGAACTAGAGCTTCATCAGGGACTGCAGCAATCTCCTGCGGGTACTTGTCCATGCTTTTTCTACACAGTTAATCATAAATTTGGAACTATTAATCACTGGCTATTAAGTGGAGAAATAAACTCCCAACTTGCTTCCAGTCACATCTCTTTTACAGCATGCTCAAGTCTTCTGGATATTTCTAGTCACATAATTTCTCAGTCTCATCTGGTTAAATGCTGACATCCTCACTTTCAGCCATGACATAAACAAGTCACAAAAATTAAGAATGCAATGCACTGACAAATCCATTTGAAAATGTGTAATAGTGTGTCCTCAGCCCGAGGCAAATGAGAAGCACAGCTGGGGAAAGATGCTGTGATGTCCAGCCACGCTCACTCTTCAGTATGATTTTTTTTCTCTTCAATTTATAATATTAACCATAGCACTATTGGCTCTCCGTTCACCGTTCAGAGCAGCTGCAGCCTTCCTTATGCTTCTTCCCTTTGGCTTTGTTTTGTGTTTGGATAGTGACTACTTGGCACCACCCTGTTGAAAGTGTCCGCTGTTTCAATCTGTGCCAATTGCTTCCTTCCTGCTTCTAGCACAAATTGCAGCTCTACATCACTCTTCCAGCATGACAGCATTTTTTACATTGCTCTTAGTTACTTTCAAATCTCAGCAGAACTTTTAGCTCAGTCCTTTATGTTGAGACTCCCGGGATCTGTGGCACAGTGCTGTATTGTAACATGGTGCAGACCAATTTTCAGGGGCCAATGAAGGTGAGAATCTCTGAGTCTTCACCAGTGATATACCAGACTTGTGGTATCTCACACTTCAGGATTTGATTTCCAATCTTGTTGCTCCCAAATTAAGACATCTGTTTCATTGAACATGGCTTATTCGTGAAGTATTTTTCTTTTGTCCTCCCTGAAGCACCCCATCATTGAGTCAGAGAAGGGTTTAACCATGAGCTTCTGGGACACTGTCATGCTGTACAGGCTATCTTCACAGTGTCCTCTGTCCTTCTAGCTACTAACTTAGAAAATCAAAAATTAAGATTAAACCATTCTGTTTACTCAAACAAAAAGTAAATAAACTGTTAGAAGAGACCAAGACTTTGCAAAATTAAAACTGAATCACACTGATTTTATACTAATTAATTTCATCACCTTCAAGAAATCATTCTTGATTTACACCATGGTACCAAAGGACAGAATGGGAAAACGTGAGATTTAATGCAACATTCCTCTTCTCCTGATTTGCATTTTTAAAATCAAGAAAAAAAATGCACCGTCACCACTGTTTTGTGGAAATAGAACTTTTAGACAACTCTCTGAACAGCCCAAGACAGCACTTTTCACTGTACTAAATTCAATGAATGTAATTTTAGAATGAAAATAAAACATGCCACTCTGCCTTGCTTCCTCCCTCCTCCCCGAGTCACTTCCTTTCACCATTTCCATGCCAGCCTAAGCAAAAAAAAAACCAAAACCCTCTTAGTAAGTCCATCTATAGGATAACACCCTCCTGCTACTATGATGAAAGCCTAATTGAGTTTGTACTCTGGACTTCTGTTTCTGTCCTGTAATTTCAGTCAAGTGTATAACTACTGAGGGATGACTTACATGTGGATTTGAGTTCCTGTGGCCTTCTGATTCTTAAGTCCTTTTAATGACATGGAGAACATTAACTATTTAAGACGTATTATTTATCTACATAATAACAGACCTATGAGAGAATAAGAAGCAACTATGTGACTGAACTACTGAGCTGTTATTGAAAAAACTGAAGTGGCAGAATTGCCTACTTGGAAACAAGTGTCCAAAGTGTGTTTGCAGGTTTGTGGAAGAGGCTGTGCATCTTCCACTTTTTCCTCTCCTGTATATTCAGCTGTAAATGAGCATCTCAAAACTATACAAATCCTCCAATACAAATGTGTCAATAAGTTAGGTACTTATTTGTAAAGCTTATCTACACATTCAGGCCAGCACAGGTACCTGTGTACCTGTGTCTTCCCCAAAGGAAAATAAGCAAGGCTGCTGCTGGTAAGAGGATATTTTGCACTGGCTTGGCCTAAAGCAAATCTGCCAGGCAACAAATAGAGTTTGAAATTGTCAGCTTCATGAATAATTAACTCCTCAAATGCAGGCACGTAACCTTCATGACTGTTAAAGTTAAGTCCGGCCTGTCCTGACAGAAAATCTAAGATGCTGTGGGAATCAACCACTTGCAGTTTTTCTCAACTACCCACACAGCTGTTACACACACACATTTCTTCAGGTACACTTCAGATCCCCACCCACAGGTCATTCCTAGGGGCTTGTGGATATTGACACACAGGGGCTTTCAAAGAGGTTGTTGCATCCTAGAGCCAGCTAGAAGCATTGGGCTGCTTTTGATCTTAGCCACTGAACTGCACCAGAACCAGCCCTATAATTGAAGGTGGAGAGTAAAGAAGGAAACATGAAAACACTGAAAAGCAGGGGGATGTGTAAGTTAACACTGACTTTTTATCCTAAGTTAAAGCCACTATTTGAAAAAGAATGAGCATGAGGAACCCTATATGACACAGGGAAAAGATTCCACTGATGGAAGAAGAGCAAAGGGAAGCGTACAGGCCTGAGACAGCCTAATGCTGCAGTGAGCTGCTAGTAACCACACCTATGCATTTTGCTGCTCATAAACTCCCACTCTGTGGATGCTCAGAGATACATAGATCTTTTCTGAAAAGGATAGGAGCTTATATGATGAGCAAGGGACAGAGTTAGATCAGCTGGAGAGGTGGACAGTCTCTGAAGCAGTTCAGAGAGAAAATTCTTCTTTTATCCAAGAAGAATGTTCTATGGGGATGGAAAAACAAAAGCTTCCCTCCAACTGAGACAATACACTCACTGTGAATCCATGACCACAGCAAGTGGCCTATATTGTAACTGGCAATCACCTCCATGACTTTTCAGCCAAGAACAGGATTTCAGAAAAGGCTGATTTATTTTTGCCTTGCATTTTGTGCATTAATTTTTCTCTAATACAGACTGAATAAAACACTAAGAGCTGGTGCTGTTTGATACCCACATCTCAACTGCATAAATAGTAGCATCTTACTAACGATCCTGTTATTACAACTCTTCATTAGAGAAAGAAACATTCTAGGAACAAGAGAGAATGTTTCCAGTACTATCCAAACCTGAAGTCTGCCAGAGATACTGATCTGAAACAAATCATCATTTTAAGTGAGAGAGAAAGTAATAAATAATGAAATATCATCGTTGTTTAAATACAGCACTTATGGCATATCCATTGTTAATAACGTGTTTAACATTTCTGAAAGACTGGGAACAAGTAACTCATTATCCTGATTTTTAACCATTAGGTCAACAACTACTTCAAGAAGTGGAATGAAAAATTAGGTACATTTGCTGTATTTATTACGTATAATTTTTCCACTGGCTAATGGAAGCCTTTTGTTTTCTTTTAAAATAAAACCAACCAAATGCCCTATTCATAAGCATTGATAAATTTCTGTCGTAGGGAAACCAGCCACTGATTTCAGAAGATCATCTGCACATACATGTTGCTTGCTCTTCATTTCACTTCAGTGCATTTTTGAAAAACTTAAAAAATCCAAGCGGAAAGCTCTGGTCTGGACAGTAGTGTCTATTTTGGT